AAAGCCTCAGTTGGATGACTCCCCAGGATCGTCATCCAACGACGTTTACGGGTACCCTAAAAAGGCGAATGTTGACGTATGGTCAAAAGCGTCAGTTATATGACGTCTTGGGATGAGACTGTGTTAGGGACTACTGAACAAACATTTAGAAGTTTATTTTACTGATTTTTATGGAAAGAATTGAAAATCTGTAAATACTTGGTTTTTACAACACTATATACAACGCATTCTCACCCCAAGGCGTCACCTTTGACCATGCTTCAATATTTGACGTTTTAGGCGCTCTTTAGCCTACGGCGTCATCTAACTGACGCTAAAGGAAAGCGTCAGTTAGAGGACGCGGTTAGGTTTAGGTGTGGGGTGGGGGTAGGGTACACGCGATCCTAGGGCGTCATCTAACTGACGCTAAAGGGCGCCTAAAGCGTCAGATATTGAAGCATGTCCAAATGCTTCCCAAGGCGTCAGTTAAGTGACGCCTTGGGGGTGAGAATGGGCTGCTATATAAGTCCCATCGGATAATCAAAAGTTACACACACTTGAACACTTGGGCCAAAATACAGGAACATCATGTAGCCTATAGACTTGTGTTATCTGATGTATGGTGCTACTTTGTTTACATGATCGATCATTTGAGTCACTTCATAGTACTCTTACATATTTCTAGTATTCATAAGATATACAAGAAATTAAAGTTTATGTTGTAATCCTGACACACAGTTCTTTATTCAAGAATGCCTTAATCTCATAAACAATATTTTCCTCTACAGTTAGAAAAAATGTGGTAAGAGAGCTTAACACACAAACCTTATGAATTATGTGTGTCACTCTGATAAGTTTAGCACTACATGGAAGACTGACAGCCTCTCATTACTCACCTTCCTATAACCTTTTCTTAAAATGCAACATGAAACTGGCAAGCATCAGAGAGGATAAGAAAAAGTTTCTGATCCATTGCCGCACAATATACTTAAAAAAAAAAAAAATCCGGTCTCTCAGTCAAGCCAGATAGCTTGGAGATATGCTGTTTTTTTTTTTTTTTTAACATATAAGTAAATCTTATCTTATTGACAAGAATAAATGCTTATCTATACTTCACAAATTGATATTGGAAAACAATTAGCATTGAGGCCATCTATACTTTTAAAAGCTGACAAAAGTATTATTTTTAGCAGATGAATGCATTTAAAAGGCACAGCCAGTCGGGAAAACGAGGGAAATGTTTAATGACTCATCCTGCACTCCATTATTTTGCCCAGTCAAATGCTCTCTAGAATGAGAATGCTCCACCCCCTAATTGTTTTTAATATTGGTAAATGCTCATATGCATCACTTAATCAGAAAAAGTTAATTAAATTCAGTGGAGGCTATATTCACACTCATTTTTGTTTCTCATTTACTCATGAACGTAGTGTTTATGTGTAAATGACTGTTTCCCATCTCCCCCGAGGTTTTTAATTACAAACTGCAGAACCGTAACTATCTCATTTCAAATGATAAAGATTCACACCTTTCATTATTAGGTTACTTTTTAGGGAAAGAAGAACAAACTGCTTTCAAAGGTTGCATATTTCCTCATATATTTTTTGCAGATGAGCTGAACCAACTGAACTATGCAGTTGTGCTGTTGCATACAGTAAGCAAGATAAGCCCTTATTTACATAATTGCCATTTTGTCATTAGTCATCCCTAAAATAACCAACCGGTGAGCTGAATTTTGAGTGATTTGGTCACACAAATATTTAACTGGTATTGCAGTCTTGCAGCTTTTGAAATACGGTATAACAAAAAAGATCTCTAATAGGATTAGTGTTTTATATTCAAATCTCTCTGACAGTGCCTTGTTGAAGCTATATTGACAACAAAAATTCACTCTGGTTGCTACACACACAATAATTCATTAACCACACTTTTTTAAAGCCGTTTTTAACCTTTGATGAGTACAGATATGTTCACAAGAAAGATAAAAAGTTTTGTCGTCTGCCGCTTTAAATGCTCAAGCTCTAAAGTATAATGGATTCTGATTGGTTGCCATTGTTTCAAAATATCAAGCCAGAAAAATAATCGTTCTGAAAGTGATTCAAGGATATTGTTTATCTGTGCTGTTATAGTTGTGGTATGGACTCTTTATTCTTTTATATTTAGAACGATTTTTAAAAATATCTTTATGGTTATCTAGAAATCACCCTTAAAGCTACACTGTGTGATTTTTACCCCCATCTAGCAGTGAAAAGGTATGTGACCATTCAGTGAATATTAGTTTCGCTCAATTCCGATTTGGTTTTAACTCCTACGGTGGCCAATGTAGTCCAAGATTAACATGGCTTCCAGTTTGACCTCGTCCATGAGTGTTAACTCAAACGTAAACGCGAAAGGCGAAGCTTGAATTAACAGGTATGTCCCTCTTTGGCTAATGTACTTTCAAGATGGAGGGGCAACATGGCGACCGACATTAGAACCCCTTACCCGTATGTATTTTCAATGGCATATTATACACTCACGAGAATACTTTATTACTTGAACGAAGTAAATTTACATTAATGAGCACATATATTTTTGAAATAACTAAGTGTTTTTAGCTAAGAATAAACTAAAATAGTTACACAGTGTAGCTTTAAATCCTTTGATTGCTGTGACTGTGATGGATGATAATGATAATAGACTGCTGCATAAATCATGAGTATCTTTTCATAAATAAGGTCCTGTGTAAGATATTCCTGAGAAAATTCCAATTTCGAGAAGCACTACCACTCGACAAAAACAATCGGGCCTCTCCTGCGCTTTCCTATCAGGTATATTGGCTTATAGTGATGAAAAGGATCTGTTTGTGTTTTTCTTTTGCTATCTGTCTAAGGAAATAAATCAAGTCCTGGGGCCGCTTTTAAATTTGATACTGCCATTGCCGTGAGTCAGAACTTATTGAGCGTTCATAACTGCTGGAATTTTCCAACAATACTAATCTGCAGGTGCTTTTGCATTGCTCCTTACTAATCACCATGCAGCTTTAATCTGTTTGTGATTGCAATTTATGGTATGTTAAGAATATATTTTAATAAAGAAATTAAGATTTAAATATCTCTTCAGGAAAAAACCCCATTCAGTGTCAACTCTTTTTCCTTTTTTTTTTTCTGAGCTTCAACATTGAGCATATTACTCTGAAGATTAATACATTCAGTGTCAGAGTTTACTTCTCAGAGTCGCGTTTTAATGGAGTGGCCCATCATTAGCTCTGTTAAAGCAGCCGATACTGAGTGAGGGGACTGTTAGGGCAGGGCAGACTGCTTTTTTACTGTCAACATCAATACACTCTTAGTTGTCAGACAGCCTATTTGTGTCGAAGGCACACTTCCGAGCACATAATATGTGCCTAAATCCACAGCTTGGAAAACTGTTCAAGCTCTGAGTTCTTAAACTTTTTTTGATCATTGAAAAGGGGCAATTTCTTCTAATTACTCAATTTTGTGGCTGTCTGTGTATACACAAAAACCTTTGATTTAGTGCTGACTTTCATGTTTTATAAAGATTAGCTGCAGCGTACTTCACATTAGCATGATTAACCCTCTGGTCCTGCTCGTGTGGCGGTCAAAGAAATTACTGGGCTTTTTTTTTCAATATAATATTTTTGAATTTTGTTTTTCATTTATTATTTATTTTCATTAAAATTACTCAATTATAATTACTGCTTTGGAGCACTTAAGGGTTTGGTCTTTTTTTAAAGAAGATACTTAGCAGATTAAAAGTGAAAAACAGTTTAAAACAGTGAAAATTAAAAAAAAAAAAAAAAAAAAAAAAACAGTTGATTCACAAAAAAAAAAAATAGATTTTTGATTTTTTTTATGATTTACTCTAAAACTGAGAGAAAAATCAAAGGAATAAATCTAAACAAATTGTGCTCCAAATTTGAGGTTGATATCTCAAGAAATGAGCATTCAGTAAGATTTTGATCTGGCTCAGTACCAAAGTTTAACATAATGAAATTCGTCTCCCATTCATTTCCAATACAGTAATTTTTGACCACGAACAATACAAGTGTGACATGTTTTGCACCATGAACTAAAACAAATTAAAAAAAAAATTCCAGTAAAAAATGACCGAACAGCAGCAAAGGGAGACTGATGTTCTAAAAACACATGGTTGATGAGATTATCACACATATTTACAGGATAAAAATCAATGCGGCAATGAAAAAAAACACTGTGTGTAATGGCACTTTCCAGTACTTTCTGGTATGAAATGGAGAGAGGTTGCCAAAATATTGTGAAGACCATGCACGCATTTTAGGCAACAAAAATGAGCTTGGCATTTATTGCATGTAGCTTTCTTTATAATGTATGGGAGCAGCAAGAATAATAGGATTTACCTGTATGCTAATAATCTATTAATGAAATAAGATTATCTTTCATGCAAAACTCACGAGTACAGTATGAGCAGTGTTTTCTGTGATAAATTAACTTTAATGTAATTGCAAGTTCATTTTATAATAGGAATTGCCTTAGAATTTATGAATAAATTATATATAGTTAAATATATTAAATTGAAATATCAGATTCATTTTTATTCTTATAGATACAGTAGATAGATAGATAGATAGATAGATAGATAGATAGATAGATAGATAGATAGATAGATAGATAGATAGATAGATAGATAGATAGATAGATAGATAGATAGATAGATAGATAGATAGATAGATAGATAGATAGATAGATAGATAGATAGATACTACTCTACGAAGCATTGTCACGTGAATAACAAACTCATGTAAACATAATAGCTTAACACTGCGCACATTTATTCATTGGAGAGAAAGCAGCGCGAGTGAATATTTACATCGCGTCAAGTTTATTGATGAACGAAGTTAACATTTTTAAAGCCAGATAAACAAGGTGATTTTTCTTGGAAGGATTTGGCTGGCTCACACGAGCCACGTACAAACCCTCGAATGAATTTATAGTGTCTGCATGCTTCGCTACTTCACTCCAATTGTCCGCAGGCTGCAGATGCTCTTCGCCAATCCAGCACTGCAGGTGCAGTTAATATACTGGAGATGTTGATTGTAGTTCTGGCTAGATGTCCTTTTCTTAGCTTGTTTCTTTTCCTCATACAGTTTTTTTTTTCTGCCTATCCCTCTTAATTTTGCTCTAGTGCTGCCGTGTGAGGTGTTGGATTCATTGGATCCCGCAGTCTGACCGGCTTTGCGGTGCTTCTTTGAGAGAATCATCCACATTATCTTTAGTGGATAGATGACGAACAGTTCCGCGTGCTGCCGCATCATGTTGACATAACTCTTTTGAAGAACTGAAAATAATGAATGGCCGGAGAGGAGCTGTGATACGAATTAACTCTTTGATGTGAAGGGAAGCTGGAACGGGATTTTGTACTGCATTTAGGTTACTGCCGAGGAAACACTGGAATGAAGCTCTAAACACGTTTCTTGTCGCTGCGAGTTTGCTTGTTGAAGTTGGCTTTGCTCAAAAATGGGAAAATGAATTGGAATGGATACTCTGATAAATGTTCCTTAGAGATGGAAGGACGATTTTCCAGCCTTTTATGAATCTTTTCGTTGTGACTGGAAAGGTGGAGCGATCAGGAAAAGCTAATGACGGACCTATTAATCCATCAAAAGCACCAGAGGGGTTTGGAAACGTTTGGATGGAAATGTTTACATCTTTTTCTGGTTTTATACGAAACTACTAATGTATAGTTGTGGATCTCTGCTGGAATCTCCATTGTCATTGATTAATATAGTTAAAAGAATTCAGGGCTTTTGACATATATGTTGTGATTGTGTTTTTTTAATTTTTAATTTTTTGGAAATATCCATCTTTTCTTCTGAAAGAATCCCAATCTAAATGGAATTAGTTGAGAAAGCCCTTTGTGAAAGGAATAGACATGGTACATGGGAACAGGTTCCTTCACGGTGAGTCTAGCTGCCAGTTAACTTCACTCTTCTCTCTCTTTCATTTTACGCATGTCTATCTGAATTTACCGGTGTGTCCTTTTTTCCTTTAGGAACTTTGTGTGTGATTGTAAACTGATTAAAAGGATTGAATGTGTTTAGTGTTAAATTAAGCGTTGCTACTGCATCATGACATTAGCCTAAATAATATTTTCCCAGTTAAATATTGTTCCCTGCTGGGAAATCCAGCTTGCTGGTAGTTGGTTTCTGCTGGTCTATAATCTATAGGCTGGTTTTACCAGCTTAAAGTTGTTAGGCTGGTTTTTACTTGGTTCTTATCTTCTAGCTTGCCAAATAATTAATGGTCTAAGCTAGTTGTTAGCAATAGTTAAAGTTGGAAGAACATCTAGGAAAAAAACAAAGTGGCTACTTGCTGGACATACTATCTTTAATCTGTAGTCAACTATCCAGCTAAAAACAATTTGCTATATATATATATATATATATATCCCCAAATGTACTGTACATCCAGCAAGTTAATTAGTCTGGAAAATGAATGAATGTAATTATTTATTCTGTGTTTATTTTGTATTGTGTAAAACACTAATAGAAATAAGAGTAACTTTTTTAAGCTATAGACCAAATTCCTTAGGGATAAGGTTTCAGATCTCTGATTTTCAACTATTCCTTGAAGTATTTCTGTTTTGTGATGTGCAGTAGGAGCAACATCCTTCAGTCCATCTGTGTGTTCATAATAAGTCCTCGTGATTCTATGATCTTTTGATCTTAAATCTTTTGTCGCAGTTGTTGCAGGTCTTCTCATGCTTGGGTTGTCTGGGGCAACAAAGAAAGAAACAGGTAATGATGTTTTGTCACAGAATACCCACCCACTTTCTATCTCCATGTTTCCTGGCAATCTCTGACATTTGACTGCTTTCTCTCAGTGAAAAACAATTCAGGAGTGCAGCCGGCAGGGCAGTGTGGAACCTGGGTGAAAGAACCAGAGGGAGGCCTCTTCACCTCACCCAATTACCCAAACAAATATCCCCCAGAGCGAGAATGCATCTACATCATTGAAGGTATAAAAATAACCTTGTTCAAATAGTAAATGCAGCTCACAAGCAAATCTTTCATGTGACGCTTGGATGGAGGGGGTTGTTTTAAACTGTTCAGTAGCGCAGTGAAGTGAAGACTGCTCGTGCTGGAGCAATCAGTTGATTGTTAATCCCATGCAGCACCACAATGCTAATAAACAGAACACTAGTGTTTCATTTGCATATAACAGAAGGATATATAGATCAACAATCTCTCAATATTTGAAAGTCAATTTCATTATCTCAATTAGATTTCAGTAAAAAAAAAAAAAAACTGAAACTGATTTGTCTTTCAGTCACATCTGACTGTATGCTGCAGTGCTGCTGCAAGCTGATAATCATATTGAACTAAGAAGCTAGTAGCAATTGTCTTCAATCTGATGGTTTATACGTGATAATCTTTGACTGTCATGATAAGATTACAAATGTTATGAGATCTTATTAGTAAAAATACCACTGTTAAACCCATGTGGTCTCTACTCTTTAGTGATAATTTCTTTCGATTGATGTGCCAGTAGAAATACATGCATGTGGTTGCAATCCATGTACCTTTGATCTCACAAACTTCCTTTGTGTACTAATAATAGCAGACATACCCAAACCAATCTCATAAGAAAACTTAATTATTCAACGATGTTGCTATTTCTTTTGAATTTGTGTGATTTGTACATAAGTGAATAGTTTTAAGAAATAATACATGGAAGTCCACCCCTAAACCATAACCTAACCATCAGAGGGTCATAAGCAGATTGTACAAAATTCATACGAATTAGCCACAACATTAAATAGTTATGTATTGCCATGACAGTATGTTTCATATGACATCATCCATCATAAATTACAGCTGCCAATCTTCATGATTTCTTTTCACTCTTTGCAGCTCCCCCGAGACAATGCATTGATCTTTTCTTTGATGAAAAGTATTCAATAGAGCCTTCATGGGAATGTAAATTTGACCATATTGAAGTCCGAGATGGGCCCTTTGGCTTTTCTCCAATAATTGGACGCTACTGCGGGGAGCAGAACCCTCCATACATCAGATCGAGCAGCCGCTACCTATGGATAAAATTTGTTGCAGATGGTGAATTGGAAGCCATGGGATTTTCTGCGAGCTACAATTTCACAGCAGGTAGGCCTACTATTTTATGCTCCTTCATGCAGTGTCAGTAATGTTTACGATTGTGAAAGACTTATTACACCAGTGAGTTTTTGGCTTTCCTTGATGCTTTTTAAGAGTTCTGGAACCGGTTTTGAGTGACCTCGGTACCCTCGGGTTATTGTTATCCTCTGCATGTCGAGTTGAATTCCTGATGCAATCAGTAACTATACTCTTCAAAATCCAAGCCGGTGATTCATATAGCAATTATTGTGGGTCCATGTTGGTTCTGTCAATGATCCCAATCTGCAGTTGAGCTTATTAGTCATTCCATTGCAATAAAGGACAGCCCGTATGTTCTAATTAATCTAAAACCATTTTAAATTGTTTACCTTGATCAGCTCTTAGTACCACAATGAATGCTGACAATCCTTCCCAGGACCTGCTTCAGATGCTCAAGATTGCCAATAAGATGCTAAGTGGTAACAACTACATCATTCCATATAATTGATTTCACGTCCCCTCAAAGGAATGCTTCGAAGCACGTTGATTTTTATCAGACGTCTCATTCTCAATGTATTCAAATTCACTGCTTTCTGATCATTTGCTTTGATTTAAAGTCTGTGAGTCTGAGCTGCATATAATACTGTACCTGAGTTTAAGCGAGAGATGTTTGCGTAAACGGTGTGCAAATTGAACAGCGATAGATAGTGTGTGAAGAATGCTAAAAGCAATATTTGAATAAAGCTGAAGAATTTCACAGAGCGGTCGAGCTTTAAGGGCCTTGCTGATGAATTACACAGCTGTACAAGAGAAAGTAGCACACAATTGAAGGCAGCGCTGATTTAGACTCGTATCTGAGAAATGAGTTTTGAGTCGAGAATTTTTCCATCCTATTGTGAGTCAGGAGGAAATTCTTTCACCAAGTTTGGAGAAACTCTTCAGCATGAATGGTTTCAGACTCTCGCTTCGCAACTTGCCAGGGAAGAAACACAGCTTCCTCTAGTCTTGATAAGGAATATCAGTGGCATATAATTTACATAATTAAGGAGATAAAAGTCCCTGAATTCACTTCCCTTGATGTTCCCCCAAAAAAGTGGAGAGCGCATCTGCTCTGCTGCAGCCAATGGGAACACATGCTAATGCAGAAGGTACAACAGATGAATGAAAAGCAGGGAATGAGGAAGGATAGAAAATGCATGTATTCATCTTCCTTGGTGTTTTTCACATTTTATGGCTACAGAAAGAGAAATCACTGTATTTGGTTATTTCAAAATGAATGCTTCTTGTCACAAAACGGCCACTCAATCAAAGATGTGCCAATCTGCAGTGTGAAAGAGGGGGAACTCGTCTAGTCAGTGTATTTTCGTCATGCTGGGGCTCTGGCAGCAAAACTACTGAAATTCTCTGTATCAGACTTGCTTGATTCATATCAAATCAGTTAAAATGCAGCTTACTTACAAATCTAATCTCCAGACTCTTCTCCTTACTGTAGTAGAGCTTTGTGATCAACTTGAAATTAAATCAGTTTAATTTCTAAAATTGGTTATAAGGTGTGGGAATGCTGTAGACTGATGTAAATCTTGAACCGGGGCAACAAGCATCCAGTTTTAAAGGTGGAATACCTAAGATTTTTGCATTAAAATATCCCAAAATCACAAGGCCAGTGTTATATATTTAGTTAAGATGATAACTTACAATATTCCAAATGTTTCAAACAATGTTTAAATCGCGAGAAAATTTAGATTTTAACCAAGGAAACGGGGCGTGGGAGCAGGGGTGAGCTGGGAGTCGCCAGTCAATCGCGTCATACCTCGGTTTCCGCTCGTACTACGTGTAGTCCTAAACAAGAAAGTTGTAGTTGTGCGTTAGCGTCTATCAAGCAACAAACGTCAGCTTGTTTCGCGCATTTGTTATGGAATGGAGCAAAATTATTCGTTTCATTTATTCTCGGAATGTGAACTGTTGGCTGTAAAGGGGGTCGCACACCAGACGAGAAGCGTCGCGCCACGTTTGGGACAACTCCAGGTAACACCGGACGCGCACTTTCTCATCAATGTATGGACAGCAATATTCTTATGTTTTTGATGACATGAAAGGAAGATAACGTCTGTTCTATGTTATTGTACTGTACAATTAAATACAATCGTTGCTGAGTCTTCATTCTGAAAACTTTACCTCATCATCCGTTAACTGAATCAATTGAGAATCTCACCTGAAAAATCTTTTAACATCAGCTATTGTTATTCAAGCAGCTGATTTCTGTAAATGAATGCAAAACTAATGCATATTGCAGCATAGGGCGAAGTCAGGATCCATTAGCAACGATTTGAGACAAAAATAAGTCACTTCGTCCAGTGACTCGTACAGTAACATCTGTGATAACTAATTTACTTTTAAACCTGACTTTTCTTGCGGTTGTTTCAGTTTAATGAAAAACAAGCATGTCATTAAACGCAACATTTATAGAAATCGAACTTTACCTCATCCATGACAACTAATTTTCGATTCCCATCTGACTGATTTATCCACGGTGGAGTTAAAAACAACAGTTCCCATCATTCCGCGTTCCTCCATCAAGCAAAGCCGTTGTTGTTGTTTTGAATGTAGCGCCCTCTAGCGGCATCTAAATCTTAGGTATTCCACCTTTAAGATATTTAAACATCACATGGCTTTAATGCTTAAAGTTTGGTTATAAAGTAATTAAAGGTGTTTTCACTCAAGGTTAGTTTCATCTGAAATTGCAGTTGCATGGCTTAATCCATTGCTGGAGAGATGATTTAAATAGTAGAATGATGTTCACACTGTGTGTAATTACTTCCTGATATCATGTGAAAATAAAAAATGGCTGTGTGCAGTCACTCACAGCATTCAGATGCAATTATTATGCAGACAGTGTATGAGTTCATTCCAGTTGTTAGATCTTGCTGGCTGTAGACAGACTGTGCATTGTGATGTCACTTCCTCTCATTACCCCGCTATACACCTAACTGGATTAAGCAGCAAATGCAGGACACTTTGTGTTTGTTGTCAATTGTCTCTTACCTTCCCTTTGTCCATCTGTCCTCTCTCTCTCCGTCTCTCCTTCTCACTATCTAGAAAACTCACACGCTCATTCTCCCGAGTCTCACTTCCTTGTCTCCTGGGCTTGACTGACCTTATTACCCCTCCTCTTTTCTAAGAGATAAAGCTGTGTTACCAGACAAGATCTGGCTGTGTTAAATAACAGGGAAAGCTGCTTCCCTCGTGTGCCTTTCCCCAGGCCGCTGGCTGTTTGAAGCCTTCGTCCCCGCTGTAAACAGACGCAGCAATAATAAGAAAAGCAAGATTGACTAAAAAGCATTTCAGGGACCACTTTTTTTGATCCAGTGGCCATTTAATAACCTTGTTTGGGAAAGCCTCATGTGGCCTTTTCCTCTTTTCATTTTCAATAGCTTTGTCGCATGTAGGGAAAGTGGAAGTTGAATGCAGGACCTGAGAGCGGTCCCTTAGATCCAAATGTCGAAACACAGTCAGGACCAATTAAGAAATATAGCTCTGTGCCTTCTGATGCTTTGTGTTGTATGTTTTTTGCTGTCACATAATAAGGTGACTTGCCATGTAAACGATTGATATTAAAGGCATAGTTCACCATAAAATTAAAATTTTCTCATTTAGGCCGTTTATACAAGAACGCATGCGGGTGAAAGCGTAAAAATATTTTATCAGATGTGCCTTTCGTTTACACGGCGATGGCATTTTGGGGGCTTAAAGGAGCATTTCCAACACTATCTCACGACCAATTCGTACGAATTCAACGCATGATTAAAAAGTGTCTAATTCGTACTAATTCGTACAACCTCACTCGTACTAATTCGTACGATTTGTCTAAACCCACGGGATGGTTAGGTTTAGGGGTGGGGTAAGGGGTAGGTCATTCGTACGAATTCATACGAATTGGCCAATTCGTAAAATATGTACAATTTAGCAAAATTGTATTAATTCGTACGAGTGAGGTTGTATGAATTGTTACGAATTAACCACTTTTTAATCATTCGTCGAATTCGTACGACTTGGTCGTGAGATCGGGTTGGCATTTCTCCCACCCACCCAAACGTGGGTCATATATGTAGTCGAAATGTTAAAACAATTTTGAATTTGGTCCCTTCTTAAAGGGATACTCCACTTTTTTTTGGAAATAGGCTCATTTTAGAACTCCGCCAGAGTTAAACAGTTGAGTTTTACCGTTTTCAAATCCTTTCAGCTGATTTTCTGATATTTAGGAGAATATCAGTAACCAGACAGTTGCTGGTCTCATTGACTTCCATAGTAGGAAAAAAAATATATACTATGGAAGTCAGTGAGACCAGAAACTGTCTGGTTACAGATATTCTTCTAAATATAAAAAAATCGGCTGAATGCATTCGAAATCGGTAAAACCCAACTGGTTAACTCTGGGGGAGTGGTAAAATGAGCCTATTTCCAAAAAACAAAACAAAACTGGAGTATCCCTTTAATAATAATAATAATAATGTGTTACATTTATATAGTGCTTTTTCTGGGACCTCAAAGCGGAAGCGGGAATCTCCTCAACCACCACCAATGTTCAGCATCCACGTGGATGATGCGACGGCAGCCATATTGCGCCAGAACGCCAAACACACCAGCTTACTGGTGATTCTTGACCAAGAAAAGAAAGAAAATAACTTTAGGGCGCATTTGTATGTACAGTAAGACAACAGCTCCCACAATGCACCACGTTGCACAGCTCCGCAAGCCACTTCCAATAGGCTATATGCACGCAAAAGTTCCGCATTTGCCGCAAGGATGCTCTACAGTTTCCGGTTGGGGAGATTTAAGCGGAGGAAACCGAGGAAAACGGGATAATGGCAGAGTCTTCAAAATTTACTGTCCTCCCGTCTTTGAAACAAAACTTTCATACGTTTAGATGTAATTTAATGTATAGTTATGTTTCTTTAATATAATTTTATAAAGAAGCATAAACACAATGAGGGGTGTCTGTTTTATCTGTTTTGTGACTAACGTTTCTTTAG